GGGTTTCTAGGCAAAAGTATGAAGGGAAATGAATGATAGTGATTTTGGTTTTATTTAATTTGGACTCAAATCATATTCATTATTGAAAGCTATCTTTGGGTTTGCCCTGTCATCATATACTTGGCTTCTGACAGTGGTGATTACAGCCATGAAAATAACTACTTGGATATTTGCCTATCCAAAGTAATAGCTAATTTGGGTCAAATAGAGGAGACTACTTTTATCATTGTCTGCCATTGAAGCTGGCTGTCTGGTAGTATTTTAAATGAAAATGTATTGCTTCTAAAATATCTTTCTGAAGATTAATAAAGATAATGTTTCTAGAGCAAGCATCCTCTGTTAACAACTGAATGATTCTATGGGGTATTACTATTCATGGATAAAGAAACAAAGGCTCAGAAAAATCAAGTGATTTGTCTGAGACCACACAGCTAGTTAAACAGCAAAGATTCAAGCATTAGGTTTGTTTGGATAGGATTGTGCCCATTTCATTAAATTCTGTCCTGCCCTTAAGTCTTCATTCTCAGACTCATGTCCAACCAAGTTAGAGATAGTGAATTTACTGTGGTAATTTGAATTGGAGTTACAAAACTACAAATTACTCCATCTTTGGGAAGTTTTTGTAATTTCTCTGAAACCCAATTTCTCACATGGCTAATACTGCCTGCCTCCCAGGATTGTAACAGGATGATGTATGTGAAAATTCATTGTGAACTCTTAAAACCATGTATTGATGTTTGGTGGTAACATTATTAATGCTGCAATTATTATACACTCTAACATACTAATTCTTGGCCCTTTCTTTGCTATTGTTCCTTTTAAGTTGCTTATTAGCGTTTAAAGTAGCATAGTAATTCCAGTTCGTTAATAAGAAAAGTTACATCTTTAGGGGTAGTAAAGAGTTCATTAAGTCTTAAAAGACATCAGAAAGAAACAGTTCTAACTGCTGTAAAATCTAAACCTTTATTTTTCATTTTCCTTTATATCACAAATTCTCATTTGTTCTTTGACTTATATCCAAAGTTAAGGTTGAAACTTTGTGATGACATATTTTCAGTAATTGCTATTTAATTACTATCTTCATTATGTTTTGTCAGAAATTCTGGCTTTGAACAAAATGTAGTATACCCATAAAGTGTTCACTGCTGGAAAATTAATTAATTCATGAATGCAAGTGGGGTTTCTGTTCAGAGATTTTACTAGAGATTGACTACATCAGTTGCTTTTGTATAAATATTGCTTTTTACATAGGGAGATAACTGTTCCTTCTTGACATCCCTGATCCTTTTTCTTGAAATCTTTGATGAAGTTTAAACTCTTGCCAAAAGAATGGTGCTGCTGCTTTTCTACTAAGTAATAAAAATCCAAGAGGGCCAGGTGTTCATGGTAGTGAAAGAGTTTGCACTAAGCAATGAAAACATGTTGTGTTCCTGGACTGATATAAATCATTTACTAGCCTCTATTGAAATGGTAAATCTTATGATAAAGCATTATAGAAAAAATCTTGAACATAAAGAGTAATTATTAACTATGTGAATAGGTAAACACCTGAATTTTCTTATCACTGATTTTAATTCTTGTTTTTATTTTTGTAAATAGCACTAGTATTAATATATTTTAATTTTCATGATTACCAACTTTATGATAAAACTGATTCCGAAAACAGTAAGCTTTTCAAACTGCTGTATTAACCTGAAAGCAACATGATTCTTTTTTTTCATAATGATTGTTTTTAACCTAATTAATCTACTGATGAACAAAAGTATGCCATTCTTCCTCAGATGTTGTGATCTTAGCTAGAATTAGGTGTGAGCTCAAATTTCAGTGCTAGAACATTTTTGTTTTCTAGTAGTTTATTTGGACAAGTTAGTATATTTCTACCCTAGTATCTTCTTCAATGCTAAAATGTGTATGCAAATGCTTCTCTCAGTGTTATTGGGAACATCAGATGGTCTAGTATATGAATGAAGTTAGGAAATAACAAAATACTATATGAACAGTATTTTGACAGTTGCTCATTTATAATAAATTATAATAAATACAGATAAGATTAAGTACTTGATTTTGCGAAATATCTCTTCCACATAGCAAAAATTTCAGTATTAGTGACTTATGTTCAAACATTGAATGGTGCTAATAATATAAAGGTTATAATTTTGAATACAAGGATGAGCTCTTTTATAAACTCTACAGTACCACCTGAATTGAACATAATATATATGTACATCTATGTAGTTATATTTCTGCATTCTAAATGATATAGGTGTGTGTTTTTATAGGTTTGCCTGAATCCATCATTGCAGCTGCATGTTCAAGAAGTGGCCAGAGGGTTCTGCATGTTGATTCGTAAGTCTCTCAATGGTAGCATTTAAGATTTCATTAATATTGCCATATAAAATTAAAATTGAAATATACGCACATGTACATATGTGTAAATATCATATATAAACCATTTAAGTTAGTAAAGGATTAGAACTAATTTTCATCAAAATAGGTGTAATATATAATGTACCAATTTTTTTATACTGTGTGAAATAGTGATTTGCTTCCTTTTCAGAATAGACCAAATGTACCTCAATTTTATTTTTCATGTGTGATGTCATTATTTAAGTAATTCTCCATGATGCTAGGAAACTTTATACCTGACCTTATTTTTATATATGTGTATGGATATATGCAATCTTATATATGATTGTATTTTAGTTTTTGTATCTGATTGTGGAAAAATTCAGCTAGTATATTTAGAGTATGTGGTTTTCTTAAAATTCATCAAAATTTAAACTACTAGAAAACCTTAATTTGAAAAAAATCTAGAATTTTATTTTTAATTTCTTCTTAAATTTGATGATAAAGGGAAGCTAATGGAAAATTTTAAATAAAGCATAGCTTTAAATCTTGCCATTCCTCCTTTCTCCCAAACCAACCCCCTAATTTTCTACCTCCTTAGTGTTCTTTTTAAAAAAATGTCAAAAGAGGGCCCTCCCTGGTGGCTCAGCGGGTTAAAGTACAGCACTGAGAAGCTAAATCCACTTCCGCATGAGTTCGATTCCCACCTGCCCCGGAGGAGATCCACATGGCGTGGCAGACCTCTCCTAGCCCGCCCACTGCTCCCCTCAGCAGTGTACTTCGTCGATCTGCCTGTTCTGTTCCCCACTCTGTCCCTGGTGAATCTCTCACCCTCTGCATCTCTGGCCTGTACCCCAGTTCTGTATGAATAAATAAACAAATCTTTAAAAAAAATGTCAAAAGATTTTTTGTTGTTGTTAATTGACCTTTTTTAAATTACCCTTCATATCTGGTTTCTTTGTTAATTAAATAGGAGTAGAAAAGAATCAAGAAGTGGCAGACTTTTTTGTTATTAATTGCAATGTTATTTAGAATGCTAGGACACAAAGAGTAACTAGACTTCTTGTAGTTTATAGTGTCCTCTCTAATATTAACACATTGTAAATATGTAGGAACCCAAAGAGTGGTTAAGTTCCTTTACATTTAACTCTGTAAATTTAATTTGAAAGAATTTTAAGTCCTCAGTTATTGGATGACTTTTCTAAATTAAATTTGGTTCATTTTTCAAATAATTCTTCCCCTTGGAATTCCCTTTCACTGTTGCATGCATATAATGTCTAATTCAGACTTTTTGAAATATCATGGATTCGCCCATGCCAAGAATTCTACCACTTTGAAAGTCCAGATACTGGGCCAGTGTTCATAATGAAAGCCTTAGTAAAAGCAACTTTATTCCTGATATCATTAATTAAACTAAAATCAAGAATAAGATCTGAAATATCCCAAAGTTGTTATTTATTGTGCTCCTCACCATATTAATTTCTTTTTTATTTTTTTTTAAGAATTATTTTATTGCTATTTAAATACTATTGTTTTAAATCCTTGCTAGTGTTTGACCATATGGGATTTCCTTCCTCGGGTGTAGTCACCCCAGCATTCCTACCACCAAAATATCCATAGTCATCCTCCATAGTCCACTGTGCTCTCTCCCCCTCTGAAATCAATAGACAGCTTTCAAAGGTTAGTTTTAAGGATTCTTTGCCTTTGTTTTTTTTTCTTTCTATATATAAATATATATTTTTGATTGCTGAATAGTAATCCATGTGTATATATACTATATAAATTCAGCTGTCTTTGGGCACTTGTGTTGTTATCATATCTTGACTGCTGTAAATAATGCTGCTGTAAGCGTAGGAGTGCAGGTTTCCTTTTTAAATTTTTTGGGTTTTTTGGTAGCTACCTAGGAGTAGAGTTGCTGGATCATGTGATACTTGTATTTTGTCTTTTGAGAAACCTCCGCATTTCTTTTCATTGGAGCTGGATGAGTCTTTATTCTCATGAACAGTGTACAGCGTTTCTGTTTCTCCATATCCTTGCAAGCATTGCTGTTTCTGGTCTTTTTAATATGAGCCGATGACATGGGCCTTTTTGATGTGGGTATCCAGTGATATCTCATTGTTGTTTTGATTTGCATTTTCCTGATAAGTAGCCATGAACATTTTTTCAAGTGCCTTTTGAATACCTGTGTGTCTTTTTTTAGAGAAGTGCCTATTTCACTCTTCTACCCAGTTTTTTATTGGGTTATTTGTTTTCTTTTTGTTAAGTTGTATGAGTTCTTTGTAGAACTTGTATATCAGTCCCTTAGTAATACTTAGTTGAATAGTAGTAGTGAGAGTGAACATACTTTTCTTATACTGGGTCTTAGTGGACAGGCTTGAAGTATTTCACTTTTGTTAGGTGAAGATATCTTATCCCTAGTTTTTTGGACAGATTTTTAAAAAAACATATTTATGCATACAATTGCTGGTATATAGGCCAGAGGTGCAGGGGTCTCAGAGGGTTCACCAGAGACAGAGTGGGGAGCAGGACAGAAAGATTTACTGAGATACTCTGCTGAGGGGAGTAGCAGGTGAGATAGGTCTGCTGCGTCATGTGGGTTACCTCCCTGTCTGGGGATTGAACTGGTGCTGCAGTGGCTGCTTATCGCTTCATAGTGCTGAGACTTAACCCCCTGTGCCACCAAAAGTCCCATTGTTGGGTCTTATTAAATGCTTTTTTTAAAAAAGATTTATTTATTCATACAGAACTGGGATACAGGCCAGAGATGCGGGGGGTGAGAGGATTCACCAGGGACAGAGTGGGGAGCAGAACAGGCAGATCGATGAAGTACACTGCTGAGGGGAGCAGCGGGCCGGTCAGGAGAGTCTGCCAGGCCATCTGGATCTCCTCGGGGCAGGCGGGGATCGAACTCATGTGGAAGTGGCTTAAGCTTCTTAGTGCAGTGATTTAACCTGCTTTGCCACCAGGGAGGGCCTTAAATGCTTTCTTAACACCTATTGACATGCTCATGTAGTTTTCATCTTTCTTTTTGTTGATGTTATGAATTGCATTGTTTTTCAAATGACCCTTTGTGTTCCTGGTATAAATCCTACTTGGTCAACATGTATAATCTTTTTAATGCAGTGTTGGATTTGACTTGCTATGATTTAATTGAGGATTTTGAGTCTCTATTCTTCAAGGAGATTGGTATGTAGTTTTTTGTGTATTGTCTTTGGTTGAATTTGGTATTAGAGTAGTGATGGCCTCATAAAATATGTTTGGAATTACTCCTTCACCCAGGTTTTTTGAAAGCCTTTAAGCAGGAGAGATACTAGTTCATCTTTGAAAGTTTGGTAGAACTCACTTGTGAAGCCATCATGTCCTGTACTTCTGTTTTTTGGTAGAGCTATGATTGCTGTTTCAATTTCCTTCCTTGTGATTGGTTTCTTCACATTTTTATTAATTTTATATTTGGCATGGAGTGATGGTATAATTCTAAGTATTTGTCCATTTCATATAGATTGTTGAAAATGTATAAATGTTCTTATAAATCTCTTATTCTCTTCATTTCTTTAGTGTCTCTAATAACTTCTCTTTGACTTTTGATCATATTTGAGTTTTCTCCCTTTTTTCTTGGTGAGCCTAGCTGTAAGTTTGTGTATTTTGTTGGCTTTTTCAGATAACCAGTTTTTGCTTTCATTGATCTTTTGGGCTATCTTTTTATTTCCATTTATTTCATTTATTTCTGCTCTTGTTATTTCCTTCCTTCTGGCATTTTTTTTCTCTTATTTCCTCAATATGAGAGACTAGATTGTTTTTTGGGGGAGAGGGCTTATTCTTGTTTCTTGAGAAGTGCCTGTATTGCTATGTACTTTAGTACTGCTGTTGCTGTCTCCCACACATTCTGGAAGGTTATGTCTTCTTGATCATTTGTCTTGTGTATTTTTTTATTTCCTCTTTGATTTTTCTCATTGATCTATTGGTCTTTCAGTAATGTATTATTTAGTCTCCATGTATTAGAGGGTTTCCTTGCTTTCTTTTTGTATTTGACTTCTAGTCATTATTCAGTCTCCATGAATTTGTTTGTACTTACCTTGTTACCCAGTATGTGGTCAGCCCTAGATCTATTTGCACTTGAGAAAATGTGTATTTGACTTTTTAGGGGTGCATCGTCCTATAAATGTCTATTAGACCCACATGGGTCTCTGTTTTCAGTAATACTCTTCCCTCTAGATAATTCTTCCTGTGGTCCTTCTTATTTTCTGACTAAGTGACCTGTCCATTGGCAAGTGTGGGGTGTTGAAGTCTCCAACTACATACATACTTATGTGAGGTCTTCCTGATAGTGTTCCTTAATATTTATATAGTATCCAATTCTGTCTCTTGTTACCTTTGTTAGCTGAAGGTCTATCTTATGTAGTGTGACTGTTCCTGCCTTTCACTTGTAGAATTGTTTCCCAATTGTTTACTTTCAGTCTCTGTTTATCCTGGGAACTTCAGTTTTCTGGAGGCAGCAGATAATAGATGCTGTTTTCTAATCCAACTAGATAGGCTGTGTCTTTTGATTGATGAATTCAACCCATTGACATTTAGATTGATTTTTGTTATATGAAAGATACTGCCAATTTCCCCATAATTTTGTGCTTCTGTTTCTTTTTTTCTAAAGATTTATTTATTTATGCATACAGAACTGGGGTACAGACCAGAGGTGCTTGGTGGTGAGAGGCTTCACCGGAGACAGTGGGGAGCAAAACAGGCAGATCAAGGAAATACACTGCTGAGGGGAGCAGCGGGCGGGTCAGGAGAGGTCTGCCACGCCATGTGGTCACCTCCGGGGCAGGCGGGGATCAAACTCATGCTGAAGTGGTTTTAGCTTCTTAGTGCTGTGCTTTAACCCGTTGCGCCACCAGGGAGGGCTGCTTCTGTTTATTTTCTTGTTCGTTTCTTTGCTTTCCTTTCAATATTGCTTGGAAAGGATGGTCTACTGGTTGCAAATTCCTTAAATTTCTGTCTTTATTTCT